TAGCTGTACCAAAGAACTGTAGACATAACGAGTTTTAAAAAGAGCTTACAGAGAACTGTTATTTACCTCATTAAAAGGTGATTACAAACCAGGGTGCGGTGTCTCTGATCTACGACATACCTCCAGTCTAGGAAAAATCAACAGCAGGAATAGTATAAAAGAAGGAAATGAAAATCAGTACCGAATATAAACTAAGCCCGGGTACAAAGCGGACACCAACCACAGCACAGAGTTTGTCGGTGTTATATAACCCCGACGAGCCCTCTCTCGAGCAGTGACGCGTCCAAAATGAAGCAGCTTCGTCCAAAACGAACAAAACCCCTTCCCGTCCAATAAGCACAGCCAACCTTCTATTCCTATTAGGTGGTCAACCCTCTATGGCAATTAAACAGAGGAAAGATGTGAGGGAACGCCTTAGGGGGGAGCGGTCAGCAGGGAAGCCAAAATGGGACTTGCGTACAAGGGACGGAAAGAAGATAACCCAAGTCAGGAGTCAGTTCTAGGCTGACAGTGGTTGGCGACGGTACCCTCTCGCACCTGCAGCTCTCTGGGTGTCTCCTCGCGCTGACGGAATTTCTACGCTCAGGAAGGTAAGGTCGTTGTATTCTTGTTGGCTTTTGTCCAGGTTGAGTAGAGTTTGGGAAGCTTTTGTAAAAAAAGAAAAAAAAAAAAAAACGTGATCCGGTGTTTCTTCAAAGCGAATTTGTCTGTCTTGTAAAATAGGCTGTGACTTCATTCCACTAAAATTTGCGAAAGGGAGGCCTATCGTATATTTGAAGCGACGCCGGGTGGGCCTCCACCCTTCAGTATCTAGCAAAGATTATTAAACCTCCTCCTTATATATTCACAAAGATATCGCATGAAGTGGTTCCTCTTTTGACGCCAAAACATCGCCATAAAAGACGAAAAACTTTCAGCAAAGGATAGGCCTACTATGCGTGGTGGAGGTTTATTTGCCTTAGCCGGAGCGCCAACCGACTGGAAGAAGAAAGCGCACTCGCAATCAGCTGGTGCACGAGGACCGCGAGTCAGCTGATCAACAATTAATGAAATATTGATAATGGATGAAAATGGGAGGTCGCTTTTCGAAATTCGGTGGCGGTTCTGTAGCCAGTATCATTTAAACGCGCGCACACGCACACACACGAACACACATACACGCGCACACACACGCGCACGCACATGCGCACGCACACACACATACACGTACACACGCACACACATATACACGTACACACACACACGTACACACACATATACACGTACACACACACATATATACGTACACACACACATATACACGTACACACACACACACATACACATGTACACATGTACACACACATGCGCACACACACACATGCACCACACACACACATGCACACACACACACATGCACACACACACATGCACACACACACATGCACACACACACATGCACACATACACACACACACATACACACGCACACACACACATGCACACATACATACGCACACACGTACACACACATTACGTACACACACATACACGCACACACACACACACACGCACACACACATACATACGCACACACACATACATACGCACACACACACATGCACACACACACACACATACATACACACACACATAC